TATTCTTTGCGACCTCTTTTTTCTTCTATCATGGTCACAACAATCCTTTTGCAGTGTGTAGCAGAAAGTGATGGTGAGTCAAGTGCTACCACTTTCTCCACACATTGTGATTAGTCGCTGTGGTAGCGGAAAACATGACGACCACCACACTCGGCTTTTCTTTTCCTCCGCGAGGGCGCGGTGTCCACTGCATTCCTCGAACACTTCTCCTCCTTTCAATCACGTTCTCATTGTATCACAGATCCGTTACGTCTTTTTGACTCTATATCCTTTTCACAGCGTTGAAATGTAGTACCACTCTACAAACTTGCAGACTAGATACTTTCTCTATTCATTGCAGTTCTCGCTTCCACACATTTATTCTAATTTATTGATCTATTCTGCACAGATTTCTAGTTACGCAAAGTCTTTCATTTCTCTTCAGTCTGCCAAAGCAGATCATTCTTCCTGAAAGTAGCCCAGCGCAGCGGTCTTTAGGGCTTTCATATTAGTGACCAAAAAACGCGACTAGCCTGAAAGTAAAGGTGGATTCTCACGGGATTTTTGGAATATTCAGATTGACTTCACGCTTTACTCAACAAAACTTTTCCAACGAAACTTCAGCTTCTAACATAGATCGTCGCCTTATTGCCATAAATTCAACAACTGTTCCATTTATGGATCCTATCCTACTTCTTTGGGGCTGACAACTCCGGGCAGCAGCACATTCGCACTCCCACATGCAGATGTAGCCAAGCTGAAGCTGATGCTCTTACTAACAAGATATTCCTCTAGAATGAAGTCGTGTACCCGTGCGATACGCTCAGCTTTGACCGATTGCTCGTGACCCGTCACGGTGACTGCGGCGGCCTTGTTTCTCCTTGCGGTGCTAACCCGCCCACTAGCTGAGCTTTGCACTCTCTAACGATGTAAGCACCTCGCCTTTCGTCCACTGTAATGGCGACTCTTGAGTTATCGTGTGTCCAACATCTCCATCCTTTCTGTCACTTTCACAGAGCTATGCATGGAATTTTTTCATTCTATGTGTACGCACTCTACTGGGAATTCAAATTCTTAAACACGAAACTTCATATAGAAAAAGGCTGAGTGAACTCTGATTCGTTCCCTGCTATTCCCGCTACAGTTCAGGGAATGAAGTTTGTCGGCTTATTATATTGATGGGTACGCGAAGAGACAACTTACCAATTAAACTATTTATTATGAGCAGCTTTCTTGAAAGAAAAGCATAGCTTAAGGGCAGTTGGCACGATAAATCCCTAAATATGTACGAGTAGGATTGATACAAGTGGCAGTGCGGATTTCCGCCACCCTGAATAGGTTCTTCCGAGGGAGGTACCCTTATAAGGGTCCTATCAAGCCACAACATTCCGACCCAAACGCCCGCCACGCCCGCCGCCCGCATATGGACGACCTTATCGTTTTGCTTCATTTGCTGTGTAATACATAAAGCGAAGGGATTAGTATGAAGCAGCTGCAGTGCTGAATGGATATATGAGTACATACCAGCCGTACCTGCCAGAGCGGTTATTTTCAACAAGCCTACGGGAAACTCGTCTGCAATTGCTTCTCAAGAACAAAGGCTTTTCTTCGAAGTGTTTGACCGTTTGACTTCGTTTTTTCGCCATTTTACCACTAGATGGCGCCCTCTAGCATTTTAGGCTGAGTACCAAAGTATCGTGCCAACTGCCTTTGAAGCGGAGAAGAACGGAAACAAAACGCCGATATAGCGAGGTACCTTAGGAAGCGTTCAGACTTGTAGCGATGCAGCTGCAATTGTCGCGCTTCAGTTGTACCTGATCAAAGCTTCCTTTTATGTTCTTTCTTCCGGTATTCAATTCCTTTTTCACTGTTTCTCATTTCTGCCTCATTCTTAGCTCCTCTTTTTTCACTTCAACATAGAAATTTAATTTAGCTTCTGATACACGACACTGTGATAATGATTTTTTATACCGTTTTCGACTTTAATTATTCAGTCTCAGGGTTGCTATTGATGTTTGATGCCTTGCTGGTGCATCATGTTGATCCCGATTACGAAATTGTTTTCGTTCTGTTCAGTGTTCTGTTCTGTTTTGTTGTGTTTAAATCCAATATCAAAGTGAAGAAGACGAGTTAAGAATCGGGTAGAAATGAGAAACAGTGAAAAAAGAATTGAATACCAGAGGAAAGAACATGAAGGGAAGGGAAGCTGGGGTCAGGTACAAGAAGGACGACAATCGCAGCGAGACAGTTGCATCGCGACAAGTCTGATAGTGAGCGCTGCCTTAACACACTGGCAACAAGGCGCCTTGTATCTGCCGCGTGGGACCAAGCAGTTTTTCCCTATTTTTGAAGAATGCGCATGAATGCTGTGGCGCTTATACACCAAAACTTTTGACAAAAGACTAGAATTCAATGCAGAAGCTGGTACGGCTTCGCTGTTTTTGTTCACTTTCAAGATAAACCCTAAATTTTCATGGAATACTCCAGCCTCATTCACGTGGAACGTGGGAACAAGGTCGCAAAAAGGAATACTTTCGCTCCAGAACTTTCATTAATAGCGGATCTGGATTCGATCCAGATCCGCTATTAATGAAAGTTACCTTACTACATTAGGTATCTGCATGTGAAGCTTAAGTTCTATGCATCCTACAAATTATCTTTTTTTCCTAACGAAACACCTTCATTTGTCATCGGTTAAATACTCCCAATGAGACAACTGCATGGTTTACAGCTACGGTATATTCTGCAATGTCCTCATGCACAATATGTGGTTGTTGAAAATTTGAAACATATTCGAACTGGTTTTTTACTCATACTGCATCCCAGCATTGGCCTACTAAAAAATGGTGCGTCTCAGCATTGGGACGCAATGTCGCCAACGTGTTAACTAAAAGCCGCGCGAGGAATGTGGAGATCCAGAGCAGAAGGGCAGCGACCGATAACACTCCTAGTCCATAGAAGCAAACATGAGGCTCCGGAGACGTTTGTGAGAGTTCCATGCGTTGGTGAACCACGAAATACGAACAACCCCTAATATAGTTGCGGACCAAACATATTTATTCCATTTCGGGCACTTCATTGTGATTTTGTTCATAAGTATACCGGAAACTTTGAGTTTGCAGTTGTCAACTCGTCAGAAGACTTCCGATAGTTTGTGTTCGCATATGCGAAATATCATTTCAGTATTGCTGCTCGTGTTCTGGGAGATCTTACTAATTAGTAAACAATGTAGGGTATAGATTAGACATAAAATTCAGAGTATAGCATATCACGATTTCACGGTGCTTCCAACTGTGTGGTTACCTATAAAAATAGATATTTGATGGAGATTCCAGGCGGTGGCTCTGAAATGAAGCTTAGTTTTCGTTTCGCAAGTGCCCTGAGATGGAAACTAAACACTCCAAGATATTCTCTCTGTGCTCATGAAGAAAAAGCAGGAGGGGGGGGGAGTGAGAAAACGGGCACCCCGACGGGCACCGGCGAGAAGTGAGGCCAGGCACGGATTCCATTTTGATAGATTTGGAGAGAGAATGTTTTCATTGATTGGTCCAGGCTTTAAGGATTGATTAAACCCTTCCTCATTTTTCTTATTTAATACGGGGTTGAGCTGCCCTCCGCTGGAGGGGGAGCATCTTCTGATCAGTTTTGTGAATGCTGGGGCTGCCCTTTCAAAGTCGGTAGGCTATCTGCGTTGGATCTTTTGCTGCAAGTGCATACAATGAAAGCATTATTGCGTATTGAAAATATGCCTGGATTATGGCTAGACACGACCAACATTTTCAGCACTGATTTCTTCTTTTCATCGGCCGTCTCCTTTGCCTTCTCCTAGAAAATCGAAGCCAGATGCTTAAAGGCAACTGGCGATAAATCTCTAAGGAACGCTGGAGCAGGACAGAATTTCGCGACCCTTGCGCTCTATTTCGTATTTAATCCATGAGATTGCTCCGTGTTCTCAACTATCGTGCCTAAAGTAAACTCAGCTATTGAATAAGAAGCTCTGGAGGGTGTGGCATACCTGCTACAGTCAGCACCATAAAGGCGGGAGCTTTGCGTTACTGCGCGGAGCACACCGCAATAGTAAGATTGACGACTAGGTTGGTGGTTTATGTTATTTGATGAAACCGCACTGTTTGCGAGTCAAGTTTGGAAGTAGTTGTATATTTAGGTATGAGTGAGCAGACTATTTGCCAAAAAAGCGATCTAGGTAGGCGTTCAAGAACAAATAAGCGGCAAAAATCGCCGCTAATTATTCTGCCAGGTAGGATACCTTGACAAGCTTGGGAAAAACAGCCTTGCAGAAGAATGCTTTGAAGCTTCCGCTTTTCGCACTAGTGGTTACCCTCTAAATGGCCGAATCATTAAGACAGGGACCTAGACTTCCCGTTTTCCATGCTTTTTTTTACGAACACAGCCATATCTTAAGGCTGGGCTGTCATCGTTGTTTTTTCCATATCCATATGAATCTGAAATGCTGATATTTAATCGCAAGCTCGAAGAATTACCAAAGCTTTTGAGCGAGTCATTAAGAACGAAGGCGGAACTGTCGAAATAAGTAGTCAAAGTAAAAAGCTTGCTCAATTTTTAAGACGCTCATTCATCAAATATGTACTAGTCTTTACTTTTCCAATGTCCTGTTTTCATTTCACGGCTTTGTTTAAGATAGGGAGGCATTTTTTGATGTTCAGGTAAATAACGCCATGCGAATTTACCACACTTTAATAGTGTGATTGATCCTCAAAGCAGGCTAAGTTGGATCCAAATGAGTGATTCGTTTCTCTTCAAATAACCCATATTTGTCTTCCTCTCTCCGGAAGTTTTATATTTACTTTCATTCAAATGCATTCAATTCTCCTCTTGATACATATTCACTCGTTTTTTATTCCATTCCTACTACTTTTTACTTTGACGCGGGCATCAGTATTGTTCTGGAATCGAATTCACGGTCAACTTTCAGAACACCCTCTAAACTCGTCTGACTCGAGTGAACCTACTTTTCAATGACTCGGAAGTAATAAACCGAAATGCGCCTGGACTGCGTGGAGAAACGACTTGCGAAGGCTTTCGGTTATTACAGGTGACCTTCGCAGCCATTAATTCTATGCTGAGAGGAAAAAACCCTCAATTTCCACTCAAGCATATACTACTTACTCAGTCTCTTGTTTGTTTTATCGCCAAAGTACATATTTAGTGGTCTCGTAGTCCTCTGCCCGTTGCCCTTCATCGTTATTCCCGTTTTCACCACCATCGGTCTCTCTACAGGACTTGTGTGGCATGGACAAGCGTTTATGAAGGTTCGAGACATTTTATGCATTGCTAAATCTGTTCATTACCGTAATCAGTTACCAAATGGATGGCGCTGCCAGTATGTCTACTCTTCTGAACTGGTGTAGCTCCCTCTTGCTTTGACCAACCCAGTCAGAATAGAAGGCTTGGCTGGTCTTTGTTTCGTAAGACTTTCTAAAAGCGGTGCCACTACTTCCAGCACTTGCGCTACCTTTACCCTCATAGTCACTTCAGTTTTACCAGACGAAACACTACAAAAAGGAAAACATCTAGATGCAGGTCCAATATCTACCGTTGCATTTCGGAATCGTCTAGAATAGGTGTGAAGTTCTTCGGTAAATGTCAATAAATTATTTTGATTTCAGGATGATCTTGAACTCTACACTCCCACTGATGCACAGGCTCGAGTTGAAGTACGCGAACTAGACTCTCTCTTTCACATCAATGACTCAGATCCCTTTTACGCAACTCGAAGGTAAACGTTCTTACAAAAT